ATAGAGATTTATGATGGTTCGGCACGCTAGACTTACGTCCACTCCCCAAGTATCCTTCTCGAGAATTTCTCCAATATTCTTTAAATAGTAATTACACCACTAGCTTCACGGGGTGCTAGTGAACCTTTACAAAAAGTGATCAATCTCAATCACTTCGTCTAGTTTAGAATCTGGTGCCTAGTCACACCTAACCAAGTAATTTTATCTTAAAAATCACTCACAAAAATATCTCAGTTAGTTTAGAATCTGGTGCTTAGTCACATCTAACCCAAGTAATTTTATCCAAAAAATCAGTCACAAAAACTCTCTTTACAAGAATAATAAGAGTAAGGGATGTAAAATCCTTTTACAATTTTGCTCAACTCTCAACAAATTTTTTTCACAAAAAATAGAACTCAATGAAACACATTACAATATTTAAGAATATTTTAATATAACAGATCTTTCTCTTCTTCACTTCGTATTTTTCTCACACCAAAATACTTCCCGATATAATAGAAGTTGTATCCATTGGAGAGGAAGCTTCTCTAACTTTGTGATGCTTCATATCCGTTGGAAGACAATTGCTAAATTTCTTCTCTTAAAAAATTACAGGCGAAAGGTTGAAAAATATAGTCAAAAGTCGCTTTTGATAAATAGTAGAAACAAATTTTCAAACTCCCTAGACAAAAACAAATAATGTACAGTAACTTACGTAGTAATTTTTCTATTAAAATATTTATATGCATACTAAAATTTCTTTAAATAATATTTATATCAAATATAAAAATATATATTCTTTTTAAAATCTTTGTAATTATTGTAAAGATTTTATATATACTCTAATAAAAATAATCAACCATCCTATGTGAGTATATTAAATTTGGGTTTGGTTATGCTGTGCAACTTACACCTTACACCTTATACCTTACACTTACACCTTACATTTACACCTTTTGTAAAAAATTAAACCTTACACTTACACCTTTTTTGAGGTTGCACACCATGTGCAACCCACTTACACCTTACACCTTACACCTTACACTTACACCTTACACTTACACCTTATACTTATACTTACACCTTACACTTACACTTTTTGTGTAAGTGGCACATGGTGTGCACTTGCACACTTAAGAAAACTCCATTAAATTTTGTCAAAAGAAAACAGCTCATTAATATCGCATTTGTCAAAAGAAAAATAGTGACTAACTGCATTTTTCAAAACGTGAATAGTAAATGTTATAAAATATTTTTGTAATTTAATTTCTATTTAAATAATATTTATAACAGATACATCATACAACATATATTTTAACAGATAAATTTTTTTGTCAAAGAATATAAAATATGTGTATTAAAAAATCATAATTTATTCCATAATATTTCAGATATAATCAAAATTAAATCACATGATTAATAAAATATATTACAATTGAAAAATTAATAATCAAAATGATTCAAATATGAAACTACAAAAACTATTAAAGTAACTCGTCCTTTTTAAAATATATATTATTTGTTCTTAGGTAATGTCCATTGACAAAACATGATTTTTTTATTATATAATTTCCCTTTTTAAGGCGTGTGAAGTGATGAAGATGAATTATTTTCACCAAATTCGAAAGTCACGGACTGAATATGGTACACGGTGTTAAAAAGACTTTTTATTCCAAAAGAAATGATTGCCCCATGAGAATGAATGGCCTAATAATGTAGCAGTTGTGATATGATTGTCACTAGTCTACATATATGTATAAGCTTGCATGATTCAAAATTCCAAAACCAATTTGATGGGCTATCATCTCTAAACCTAATCATGCTAAAAAGATAGTGAATAGAAGAATCTAATGTTGTAATCAAGTCGTTTCGTCCAAGAAGCTAGTAAATATGTCTAGAGAATTTCTTCATTCGTTGTCGAGTTTAAATAGCAATACATTTTTTTAATACGAAAAAATATAAGACAAATTATATTATTAGTCTTTGTATTTTGATCATTATATCATTTTAGCTTTGTAAGTTTAATTGGGTTAGAACTTTTGATTTTTTCTCAAATTGATCCAATTGCTTCTATTGTCAACATTTTTTTTGACGGCAAATACGCACATGGGTGGCACGTGTCGTATTTTTAGACGTAAAATTAAAAATTTGATCAATTTACTGATTTAATCTCAATTAGTTTAATGAAAATTTTATGTTAAAAACTCTAACGACATTATCTATTGTATCAAATTGAACCAAACTTAAAATTAAGAGTTAAAATTGAGCCAATTGAAATTATAGACATTAAAATAACAGAAATAGCAAAATGTAGAGACTATCGGTATAATTTGTCCAAAAATATATTACTAAAAGCATGTGGTTCAATAATTTGATAGTGAGTTGAATTTCTACGCTACGTAAGTTTTACTTCTCTTGAATTTATTGGTGGTTTTTTGAGATTATTTTTTGTATTAATTATGTATTGTTTTTAATTTTTATTATTATGACTATAATTCATTAAATTGTATGGTAATATTATTTGTAAATAATAAAATAAAAAAAATCTAAAAATCATCCATAAGGACTTTATCTACAAAATGTGTGCTTGATTTTTAGTTGGGAACGATGGAGAGAAATTCTACTGACAATGATTTTTTTTCAACATGCCCAAATCAGGTGGCGTTTAGAATACAAACCCATATCAGAGATTTAGGGGTTGTTTATGGTGTGGTGTCCTAAATAAGTGTATTTTTTGATTTTTTAGATTAAAAAGTTGAGAAAAAAATATGGTTGTTTGGGTTAAATTTTTTACTTTGTATGGAAAAATGTATATTAAAAAATTGTATAAATTAGTGTATAGGAGAAAATTAGGAGTGTGAGTTGTACGGCCGTATTATTTGCATAGCTGAATTGATGCTAAGAAATGATTGACTACTTTTCAGGCATTGCACTGGATAGTGTTGTTCGGCCCGTATCACGGGTCCCGTTTTGATAATTTGAACTATTCAATGTGTAGAACTCGTCGAGTATTATATGCCTGTAAAAAAATCATGTTGATCGGATATCAATAGCTATCTGATCAGATTAGTTTCTTTTAACCGTTAACTATAACACCATCCAGTTTTTATACAAAATTGATTTGATCATGTAGTTAGCGATATCCGATCAATGTGATTTTTAACAATCATATAATACTCGACGGGTTCTATACATTGACGGTTCAGATTGTCAAAACGAGACCCATGATGGGCCCCTACGGGCCGAACAGCAGTGTGTTAAAATTGTACCCCAACTGTGCAATTTTTCTTAAAAAATGCAGCCACAGATCTAATTTTGAAAAGATTGACTTGTAATTTTGTGTGTAAAATTAATTTTTAATATTTTTTTTAGTAAATAGTGATAACTTTTTAACTTTTTGAATAACTTTTTGACTTTTTAACTTTTTTTATCTATGCCAAACCAATCCTTAGTATTACCATCTATTAGATACATCTAACAAATCTACTGGGTAGAATAGGAAAAACACAAAACTTAAACAGCATGAATCTTTAATTTTCTAAAGTGATGTAAATCTCACTTTTTTTTATTGATCGGCGAAAATCTATTATAAAATTGTATAAATTAGTATGTATGGAAAAATTAGGATTGAGAGTTATGCAGCCGTAATTGTTGACTTTTAGTAAATAGTGTTAACTTTTTAACTTTTTGAGTAACTTTTTGACTTTTTGACTTTTTTGGAAGTACCCAAACTTGGCCTTAGTCTCTCTACCCTTGTAAAGCAATAATTACTTGCATCATAATTCAATACATTCTTAAAGAGAGTTAAATCCATGATCTATCCCATAAAACTATGTCTTTAGAAGAGTCATAGCCTACTAGGCTAAACCTAGTTGATTGATAAAAATCTCACTTACCTCGCTAGTAAGCAACAAACTTGTTTTTAAATTCAGTTCAAAGAACATGCTCAAGAATAATAATAATAACTAATTTAAACTATAAGACTCATTACTTTTAGTAGATGAAATGAAATATTATTTCAAAAGCACTGAACAATTTTATACCACTTTGTGAAAAATGTTATTTTATTTTATTGATATACATGTATGTATTATCATAATGCTTAGATTAAAAAGTACATAATTTTGCGTTCTTTGGATATGGTGTGAGGTGACTGATATGTACTTGTGCTAGAGAAGCTTTTTTACGCACAAGAATAAAAGGTTAATTACAATTAGCATTATTGTATTTTTATAAAAAATTTGGCTATTCTGCTTACAATTATTTCGTATATTTTAGGTCAAAGTGCGGTATTTTCCTCCTATCCATATCATATTGATGAGACTAATGAAAATAGGATGTAATATTATAACAAATAAGAGTTTTAGAGATTAAATGTTTTAATCTCTAAAAGTAAAAATTTTGTTATAAAAGACATTTAGGGATCAATTTCTATCGTCATGAGAATAGTCGCTAAAAGATCGTTCCGAAAAGTCCAAAACAAGGCTTTTAGTGACAAAATTTTAAAAATGTCAGTAATAAATAAACTTTTAGGGACAAAATAATTTGGTCTCAAAATGGTTTATTTTTTGAGACAAAAAATTTGATCCTAAAAGGATAATAATTCATCACTAATATCTAATTTTTGTTGCTAAAAATATAATAACGGCACTTTTCGCAACAAAAAAGTTTAGTCCCCAAAAAATAATTTTATCTCTAAATTTTGGTCTATAAAATCTTAATTTTTTGTAGTGTAAGTTGTACATAACATTTTCTTAGCTCATTAACACCATTACATTATCAGCAAAATTTCATTTTGATCTTCTGCATTTTAACCAAATTCTCATTTTTTTGCCACTAAACATGTCGTGTGTCACACTTACTAATTTCGATCGGTCTTATTAATGCCGGCCAACGAAATGGTAACCGTACAAATTCACTTCAAATATAAGGGATTAACTGCAATAATTGAAGACAGAGAGGCCAAAAGTACAATTTTAATAAAATGTAGGAGTAGTGAGAGTAACTAATCGAGAACAAAATAAACAGAAGTAAATGATTTTCAATAACATTTTAATAAAAAGTTACACATAAACAAGCCTTATAAAAATGACCATTTTGAGTCTGGACTCTTGAGCTATTACATAATTAAGGAAACTTAATACATATCAACCACATCAACTAGCAAACTATGACAAAGCAAACAAGACAGAAGTTACCATGCAATGCACTTACACTACAACACACTCTTATTATAGAAAACATAGCTTGCTGAATGAGGAAAAGCCATAGAGAAGGCTAACAAAGTGAAGTAGTTTACGGACATTGGAAGCCACGAGGAGTATTTCTCGAACAAACATTAAGAAGCAAGCTCAATGCAATAGGTAGGTTGAGGTTGATGCCCAATATCCTTCCCCTAATCACAGTACAAAGGCACACAGCAGCCTCAAGGTCAACAAGTCCTTGAAGGAGACTGCAGCATGGTGTTACTGGAGGTGCACCTATTGTAACATTAAGCAAATTGCCGAGCACATCAGCACATACACCTAGTTTTAGGGCATCTCTGGGGCAGGTCGGATTATTGGGGTTATTGGGATTATTGGGGTTATTGGGGTTATTGGGATTATTGGGGTTATTGGGGTTATTGGGATTATTGGGATTATTGGGGTTATTGGGATTATTGGGATTATTGGGGTTATTGGGGTTATTGGGATTATTGGGATTATTGGGGTTATTGGGATTATTGGGATTTGGATTTGGTTTTCTCCCTGGAGGGCAAGTGTTACAAGAACTTACAAAGGCAAAGAAGAGAAGGTTGAGTAAGAGAAACAATGCAAGAGTTGCATTGCTCTTGGAACCCATCTCTCTCATGTTTCTGAACTGTTGGTGGTAAGCAATTCTAGAGATGTGAGAAGGGTACTTGTGATGATGGAGTAATATATGAATTCAGAGATGGGTTTTTATAGGGTGCAAGGAGGGGTGGTTGGCTCCTTGAATTGAAGTGGATAAGAAAACAAATTGCCATGTTACTTGCAAGTTGCAATCAATGGATCTATGTATCATGCATGCATGTCTTATGGCATGTACATTTATAAATTTATAATTCAAATAGTAAAAATCATGTTTATGCTTACTTTCCTTGTACATTGTGCTTTCATGTAGGGGGAAAATAGATATATGTATTAATAAATAACTAGATGTCCAGATTAATTTGTATACATCTCGATTAATTTTAGAATCTTGAAGTTAACGATTGGGTAGACTTTCAGTGGCTCTTTAGGTGACTTGAACTCAAGAATTTGGATATTATTCTCAAACTTTTACTGCATAGCCAACCTTTTAGGGTTGTGAAAAATTATACTAGTAGTCCTTATTTAGAAATTAGACTAAAATTGAAAGGAAAAAAAAAATTCTGTTCACTTTCCTAAAAGACATTGAGGCCATGTTTGTTTGGGCGGACTGGATTAGCATTCTCATGACTAATAGTCCTATGACTACCAATTCGTTGGATTATGTATCCTATCTTAACTAATAGTCAAGTTTAAAATAATTAGTCCGTACTTCAATTGTTTAACCAAACATCGGATTAATAATTTTATTGGACTATTAGTCCAAACCCAAGCTCATGTCCACCCAAACAAACATGGCCTGAGGAGGCTAATTTGAAATAATTCATTTCCTTTTAAATGGACTGTTTTATCAGTGATTTTTGCCTATTTTTTTAACAAATATTATTAATTGAATTAAATTGAAACAATGTGTAAAATTTAATAGCAAAATTGATACAGTTGAAATTATAAGAACCAAATTAAAGCAAGAGAAAAAATTACATAACCACCAGTGTTATTTTTCTTATAGTAAATGAAAATTTTAATTTTCAAAATGGGTAAACTACATTAACCTTCTTGAGGGTAGAATATGTATTGAGTTCCATAAATTTGACATAATTGTATTAAGTTTCCTTAATGTTTTAATTTCTATAACACTTAATTCACTTTTTATTAATAATTCAGTTGTCGTACTAATAAAAAAAATAATCTTAAGCTCTTTCACACTAATATATATAGATATGTATATATATATTTTTATTTATCAAAAAAAAAAGAAAAGAAAGAAAGAGAAAAGAATAGCTAATATGTATAGCTTACTACAATTAGGTAAAAGCTAAAGTAGCTTGTGTAGCAAATTATCTTCCAGCTTAGACTTTGGACGTTAGTGTCACGAGATATTATACCAAATTTGTGGTGTGAGTACTCTAGTCATCTTTAATTTCCTTCAGTTCACACTAATTAATGTAGCCATTTTGCCTTAAAAAAGTTTTGCAAAGTTTGGGTTTTCGAGATGAAATATAGAAAAGCAATAATGGGAGGAAAATGACGGGATTCTCTCAATTCATTCATCTATTTTGTACCTCATTCCCAAAATGTTATATTTCTCTCTTCCAAAAAAAAATCACTCTTAACTCTTATCCTATGTTGAAAAATGATATATAAGTCCATATTTTAAATTTATTTTTTAAACTCAATAATGTGTAAATGATATAATTGATTAATAGTTACAGAAAATATAAAAAAAGAATCTTGCCTAAAGCAGGACTTGAATTCTTAACTAAAAGAAAAGAAAAAAATTAAGTGAGATTAGATATCAATAATGATATTCTTTTTCCTTGATTTTGAGACAAGAAAAGGAAAATGAATAGACAATTCTCCAAACATCCCTTTCTTTGTTTGGTTAAAGAATTGCAAAAGTAAATAGGTACAAATTATTACATTTATCTTTCTTTTTCTTTCCCTTATCAAAATGGAGAGCTAAACAGAGTATAGATTAACCATAAAAAAGAGAAATTTGCCTCTATTTTTTTCCCGCTCCCTCTCTCCTCTCCCACGGTCCACATGGGGCATTTCCTTACACTTTGACTAGGGATGTATACAGATCGGTTCTTTCGGTATTGATGATATATAATCGAATCGATCCTTTCAGTTTTCATAGTTGAGAAGCCAATTCTATAGTTTAGTTTTTATTGATTTTTTCAATTTGATATAAAAGAGAAATTTACATGAGATTTTAAAGGGTTTTCTAGAAGATTATAGAATTTTGCATTGAATATAAATAAAGAAAATGTATACGAGTTGCTAGTTAAATGTTTCTCTCCCTAATTTTTATCATAAAAGTGTATTATATTTATTACTTATCATATAATGTCCAATAAATTATAATATAAAATATTTAAATATAATATTTGTTCGTTTGATTTCTATCGGTACAAAAAATTTAAAATTAAACCAAACCGTATGCTATAAAAATAAAGACCAAAAACTAAAATTTTCACCGAATCTATTCCGTCGATTTTCCAAATATCTCTACGTTTGACCCAATTTGTTGATGATCAACCATTATCCCAGTGGGCTTTTATTCATAACCGTTTTGACATAATTGGATTTGGTTTAAAAAATCTTAACAACTTTTTTGTTGGCATTTCCCCTCCCTCGTCTCAGGATTTGTAATGTAGCAGTGATCGTGACCAGAATGGTTGACAAACTTGATTTTTATACATAAGAAGAAGAGCCTTATGGGGGTAGTGAACAACCTATGCACAAGACTTTGATGCTGGACTTTGATTTTTTTATACAAGAGGAACGGGAAGGTTTGATAAATAAATAAAACCTTTTAGCCCATCTGCTTGCGGGGAAATGACATTTCTAAGTGAAAATTTTATTTATTTATTTATTATTATCTTTAATAAACATTTTTTTTTAATTATCGAACTTTTTTTTTTTATGAAAAATGATATACAAGCCCACTTTCTAGACTCATTTTTTAGATCTCATGATGTGTAAGTGATATGATTGATTGATAATTAGAGAAGATATGAAAAAGAGTGGTATCTTTAATATTCTAATTGATCGCCACATCACTGGACTTAAAAATTGAGTTTAATTTTTTTATTTGGAATAGTAATGCTCTTTTATATATATATATACATTTGCGGAAGGAAAGAGAGAAGGACAATATGGAACATAATTAAGTATGGAAAGTTATGATGGTCATTTTTATTTTTCTGTTAACAATGTTAATTAACAAACTCTAACTGGAGATAATTTTTTATTTTCAAAACTACATGAAAAAAATCAATATTTTAGGGTGTGGTCAGTAATTTGATCAGAGTGCCAAGTACCCTTATTAATAGGGAAGTGATTGAGACCCCCTTCAATCACCACCCCCACTACCCCCATACATACGTGGCGGATGGTGATTGGAGGAGAAGGAAAAAAAGAAAAAGAAAAAAGAAAAATTGGCCAATCAGAAACAGAGGGGGTCAAAGGAGTGTCTCCTTGAAGGGTCTAACTCATTTTCCTTATTAATATGATGTTAGGATATTAATAAGATTTTACTACTATTGGTGGTCTATCAGTTTATTAGGCTAACTAAATTGTTCCCTCTTAGGCCCATTTAAGTACTTTTCGGGTTGACCAAAGGCCATTAGAGAACATCATTAATCCAAGTTCCATAAAGAGGGATAATATATGGGCCGAAATATGGTCTCTGGAAGAAGCCTTGAGATTCGATTCGCTTCCCAATAATTCTCATATCACCGGTTGCCCATGAAAAAATATTAATTAATGAAAAATATTGAAAAAATTACATGTCAGATTCTTTTCTTTTTTTTTAATTACAAATTCATGGTAAAATTTATGATTTTACTTTTCAATATTTGTAAAGTTATTTTTCAATAATTATTTACTATTTTAGGCTGAAAATTTTAAATTCTTCATTTTTTATAATAAAAAAGTCTCAATTTTCATGTTTCATAAAATAGTAAATATTTTTGCTAAATAAAATATCATATTTTTAAGACACAATATAAAAACATAACATTATTTTTAAGAATGTTGACTGATCAAATTAGAATGAATAGCCTCTCTTTCGAACCATTAAAATTGTTCGTTATGTGATAATTGGTTGGAACTATTCAATTTTGACGAGAGGAATGAATGCTGCCCAACCCCACTATCAAGTGTGAATTTCATGCTAGTCCTTTCCCGGATTTCACATGTGTCCCATTTATCACAAATTCATCCGTGTTGTCGAGCAGTTATTACGGTAGCATTTAGGATAAGTTTGGGAAGATCCAAAAAAGTTAAAAAGTCAAAAAGTTACTAAAAAGTTAAAAAGTTAATATTATTCACCAAAAGTCAACAATTACGGCTGCACAACTCCCAATTCAAATTTATGTTTGTTCAGACCTAAAATATTTATATTTATTTTTTTATTATTTATGACAATAGGATTATACACATTATAATTGAAAAAAAGTACTTAAAAAAATTAATTGGAAAAAAATTATTTGAAAAAAAAATTGTTAGTCAAATTTTTAAATTTCTGTTTAAAAACCAACATAAACTCATGTTTTGAATTTAAGTTTTTTATTCAAATTTATAAACTGAGACAACTATTTATAAACTAAAAAAATTATCAAACAAGTTTTTATGGCAGTTTTTTAAATCTGTGTAAATATAAACTGAAAACTGAAAACAAAATGGTTACCAAACAGGCCTGACATGATGTGGATCCATAGTTTTGATTATGTAATGAATTTTATTTTATTATTATTTTTTTTATTACCAATATTAATCTGTCTAGTTTGAAAAGTAAGTTAAAATTAATTTTTTAATTTTTTATGAAAAAATATACAAAAAAAAAAGAAAAAAAAAGACATGACTCAAAAAAATTAGAAAGTCAATAAATTAACTTTTAACCTTGTTCCCAATAGTATTGTTCGCATTTATGGGTCCATCACAGTTTTTAAACTTTATATGAATAAATTATTTATTAAAAATTAATTTAATTTAAAGATGACGTTATTATAATTTTATTAAATTTATTTTAAAAAAATAAATAATAAAAGTCATTTAGAAATTGAACGGTTTTTCTTAACAGACAAACTTA